TTGGAAAACAAAAAGTTCGTTGGTGGAGACATGATTGCTGATAGGTAAAAAACTACCGGGAGTTATATATTGTGTAGTATATATTGTTTTTTCGTTCATAAAGATTTCATTAGCAAGAAAACTCGTCCTAGCGTGGATGGAGTATTGGTCATATTTTCGACAATGTGAGAAGTACTGTCTAAGCCTGTAAATTAATTTCATATCAAACTAGGTAAACGCAACCCTCTGGTATTAAATTTAATTACATCCTTCAAAAAACTATCAGATTCAGTAATTTGTTTCAGTGCTCTATTGAAATTTTAATTATTTTGGGTTATCACCCTCCGGTAAAATTAACAAAAAAACAGAAATTGAACGTAGCGTATATTGTATTTTTATAAACCTCAATCATGAACACAAGATACATAGTCAACGCTCGTCGCCCTGGTTGGTGAACGGCGTCATAGATGGCAGCGTCGCAAACTGCATTACAGTCTCAGAAAGAGATTTTATTCCTCCGGAGACTCCGATAATTTTCCTTCCTTTAGTTTCATAAAGTACATCGGCGAAGGCAGGGCGACTTCTTATGTGAATGTATTTTTAATTTCATTCTTTAAGAGCCTTTCCCTCTCCTCCCGTCATAACATTATGAATACGAAATTCTGCGACGTCCCCGTCATAATAACAAGAGGACGAAGATTTTTCCGCATGGCACAATAATTAAATCGCTTTCCGGAGGCGTACGATTCACAAACAACCCTTACTGGCAATGCTAGGTTACTTGATCAACAACGTCGAATCGATCTCGTTTTATTTACTCTCGGTTAATTAAGCATTAAAAACTCACTGCGCTTAATCCCAACAAATAACTAACGCGAATAAACAAACCCCTCGGAACCTCCGACCCCCACGAAATTCCAGCTCTAGAGGATCACTAAATTCATTATGGATTTAGAGTCGGAATTTAAGCAGGGTGGTGAGGAAAAGGTAGAACGGACGGTGGTATGGAAACAGATTCTCCGAAAGTTTGTGGGTTTACACTTTTGAAAACAAGCTGGTAACATTAATTTGCGAATTGGAGACGCTGATTTGGTTTAATAATGTACAAGTGCGGTGAAAGATAGGTTTAAGGGTCGATTTGTAAACAGTAGGTGGCATTACCGTTGAAAGCAAAATTTCCTTGGGGACAAATAATGTGTAGACTGCAACATGTTAAATATTGTTATTAGTTACTATTAAAGCGTATGGTTTTTATTTTAAAAGAATTGACTGTACTTGGAATATGTATTTGTGAAATCTGTTACCGCCGAATGTAAGAAAGATATCAGTATGTTTTTTTAAACTATCAAGCAAATTTTTTATTAACAAAACTACGGATGTTGGAAACCAGTTTTAATGACCTAGCAAATTTTAAAATTATTTACCTTCTCTATTTTTAAGAAATGACCATATTTTTACTAGAACTTTTTATTCATATTTTGCTAATAGTGCCGAATCACCCTGTATATTTATTTTAACTTGTAGGGGTTACCATTAAAAATTAAGATTCGCCAAATTAAATTTTCTTAATTAAGTATTCGAAAAAGCTGTATGTCAGGGGCGGGGGAAATTCTTTCTAAATAACTTCATTTTATTTTGTGATGGCATGCACAGTAAATTATATTAATTTTTGCAGTTTCGGAAAATGTGTGCGTTATTGAAGTAATAAAAAGGTTACATTAAAATTGTTCGTGTAAAAAATGTTCTTTTAATTGAAAAGTTAATTATTATTGTAAAAAATAAAACATATCTCAATTTAAAGGTCGCGCAAAATATCAACAAAAATTTCACATTACTATCATGATACACGTAGATTGCTTTATAGTTGAACCTTATTTGTTAAAGGAAACTCTCGTCGACTTCTGGAAATCTTGATAAAATTACAGGTATTTCTAATTACATGTGTAAATCGTTCGAGCAAATACAGCTTATTTGTTATCAGCTTCTTTTCAAGACTTCGTTGCAATCTGATAAATACAGATCTTCCACATACTCCTTTTTCCCTCACACTTTATTGGATTTTTCACTGAGTATTCTCTGAAATTATTTTTAAATACGTAAATAATAATAATAATAATATTCATGTTTTTTCCAACGAGCGGTATAAACCATAGGAGGTCACCAAACAAATAAATGGAACTAAATCTATCTTAACACATAAAATGTAGACATAAAATTAAAACGCATTACACATAAACAAAATATATAACTTCTAAGTTCTAAATAACTTGAAATATTCTTCAAAGGAGTATATTTATTTAGTTCTATCACTAAGTACTTTCAGGTCTTCTGGAAGCTCAGCATAACATTGTATCAAACGAAAGATTACTTAGAGAAATTCGAATAACATATAAAATATTTGAAAAATCGGAGAAAACTTACAATTTGAAATTTTACTCGTCCTGTATACGTATGTGTAACATTTTTCAATTCTTTATACGTATTGTTACCGAATAAACCTATGCGCCGCCCCGGTCCGACGTCTATGGCCGTCGAGAGCTTTCGGGTCGATCCGCCGATGATGACTCATCGTCAACGACAGCGACCGAGCGGCGGATCGCTATAGGAAAGCCTGGAAGCGGAAGTCGCGAACGGCAATCCAGAAAGATCCCGATCGCCTCACATCTAGAAGGAGGTATGGTTTTAAATAGAGACCACCTTCGGGAATGAGGATTATTCAACACACGAGTCGAGTACAGTCAAGTTGCGCCGGAATTATTCAATCTCTCTTGTAATTAGTCGTGTAAATTCGAGTTATTAAGAAATAAATTGTTGAGTTTAACCCACGCCAATTTTATTCACCGATCAACGTAACAGTATGTTAAGGTAAGGTGAGCAGACAATTTTTTGCAAAATTCCAAACGTCAGGTTTTAAAAATTAGTAAAGAATTTAGATTTTAAGTGTGTAGCATCCTTAATCGAGTGCACTGTCAGCTTTTGTGGAAAATCGACAATAATAATTTACTGAAGCGATAGAGATTTGTTTATTTATACAAAATCGAATATGTGATTTTCTTTAGAAAGATTATATTAGTAGGTTATAATAACCAACGTTACTTGCAGAAGAAAGTTATTTTATCAGCGTATGCATTCTTGTGTCAGTACTTTACACAAAATCACAGTGTTTTTCTTTAATCGTCGAATTTTCCTCCACCATATTTTTATGTAATATGTTTGCACCAGTTGCAAATCGCTGAGATATCTCCTGGAATTAGAAAATCTCGCGAATCGTTCATCCACAAAAAAACACTGAGCGTATACAGATAAACTCGAGATTGCCTACAGTGCTCGAGAATTACCTTTCGTTTCATATTGCAAGAAGCGACAGAAATAGGCAAATAAATAAAAAGTTTGAGCGGGCAAGTTTTCAAGTCGTAATAAGTTGCGCTTTTCTAGTCGACAATATGCTGTTGACTCGTATAAAAAGCTCGCAGGAAAATAAGCTGGATGATAACTAGCCTGGATAACGAACTGTGTTTTGACAATTAGGATGCATCTCGCCTTTGTTTCATAGTAAAAATATAATAAATGAAAATGTCAAGATAAATACGGGTTCGCGACGAGTTAACGATGTAAAATGAGGAATAAATGGCTTATTGCAAACGAGCTGATTGAGAAGTTCATCATTAGGAGTTCGTATGGAGGAATAATTTTAATGACCGGCAGCAGTATGTCTGGAGTTTGTCATTTTTTAAGGCCTTTGTAGTGCATAGTTATTAACTATCTATCTATTTTTCGACTCAGATTGGCTATATGTGGTCGTATAGTAGGAGTAAACGGACTAAAGTTCAAGTTGTGTTTTCTTTGTTCCCGGGTATTTTATATTTGTCGTCTTTTGAAGTAGTTTTAAAAGGTTTCTTTTTATGATAAGAAAAAGTATCTTGTGGTTTAAGGTATATTTTAAGAGCGCCCTTTTACATGTAGAAAATGCATGCGGTCTCAGTACGGGTTTATGAAAGGGAAAGTCCAATAGCAGACATTTATCAAAATCACGGTTTTACAATATTGCTCCTAGAGATCCTGTGAAATAAATTAGTTTTATTATAATTAAATTCTGGAAACGGACGAAATTTAGATTTGAACAAGTAATTCAGTTAAAAAATTAGTGTTGTAGAAAAATACTTAGGTACGTGTGCAACTATAGGATACAGATTTTTGCCTCTACTGCTTTTTATTTTTATTCATGTATGGTGCGTGCTTGAGCAAGCAACAGCATTTCGATGAAACCTTACGTCGATAAATTTTTGTGGCTGCATCGATTTTCGAATTTTGTCATTAAAGCACGAACATCTATACGAATTCAACAAGCTCCATCAGAACTAAATCGTAAATGTGTCGTTCTACAGTGACGGAGAATTAAAATGGATTTATTGGTAAAACTTTACTATTTACTAATTCAAAATGAAATGAAGCAAATGAGTCAATACCACAAGCTTTCTAATCTCCGATGATAATAAGAAGTGCGGTATTGGGTACAATCGAAGAAGAAATCACTAGGGCAAACACGTACCTTTAAAAAAAGTATTTAAAATAAGCAGTTCTCTTAATGATGTTAAAAATGCAATATTGTACTCGACAGATGTTTATAAAGACGAGTATGAAGAGCCAATTTTGTTAGATAGCATTTAGCAGTGGACATTCGCTACTTGTTTTACTTTATAGTTCGGTCGATAAAGCGGTACACATAGAACTGGCAACTGCTTTCCTCATGTTCGATGTGAAGAAATTAAAATAAGTTCCGCTTTCGTTTGATGTTAGCGTGTATTAGACGCAGAAAGGTTTATGGCAAAAAAAAAGCCAAATTCTAAAAACTTGCTTTAGTGTAGCTGTTGAAACACGTTGATATCTATTGAAATTTTAATAGTTGCCAAACACTAGTTAATGATAGTTACTGTGCAATATTTATTTCTTTGGAATAATATTTATAAAACCTCTATTACCCCCACTGACAGGTCTCATTGCTTGTTTTTCTTTTGTTGCAGGCATGGAAGCCATAATGTCCGAATTTTTCAACGACACAACAACCGCCTTCTACATCATCTTGATCGTCTGGATGGCGGATCAGTATGACGCGATTTGCTGCCACACCGCTATAACGAAACGTCATTGGCTAAGGTAAGTGTCAAAAATTTCGCATGATTCGATTAACCGCCGACGGTTAGGTTTTCTATTGTCACTTGTTCGCCACCAATTTAGCAACTAAACGCAATTAGATTTCCCGCTTTCCAGACACTGTCCGTCATTTCTCTTTTTCGCGAATTTGAATATTAAATCTCTGTTTTCGTTGGCAGAGTCGCTGAAAGGACAACTAATACTTTTTAGTCTCTCGAATTAGTGCCCTTTCTAATTAAATTCGCTCTGATCTGCGCATACTGCAGCTGTTATCAAGAATTATTGCATTTGGTGGATTTGCTCAAATTACGTGGCGTTTTAATTGAGTAAGATCAAAGAAAATCTCGGTACGGCGGACTATTCAAAGAACAGACGGAGGTTTTTTTTTTGGAAAATGTGCTTTCTATTCGAGGAAGCGGGATTTTTTTAACTTCATAGCGAATTCAGTTTGTGCTGTATTGTTTTGTCGTTTTGTTACTTTGGAGAAGTTTTACTAGTCGTTAAAGTGCGAAGCGTAAATAGAGTGTTATTAGGTGAGTTTTAAATCCAGATGGGGTAGAGGAATAAGCATTTTTGACCGTTGAGACATTTTGTAAAGAGAGAAGTTGGTAAATGTATGTTTATAACATAAGTAAACTGAAGCTATATTTACGCAACAATCATACATTGTATAGCACAAGTCAAACAACAGAATTGTATAACATATAAAAAATAAATGCGTATAAAGCAAAATAACATAGACATAGCACATTAGTCCAATAAGTTAATAAAAATGTCTAAAAGAAATGAATCAAAATCATAAAATGCTTTGGGAAGCAAAACTCTTTTTACTAAATGACATAATTTATCAAGGGATACGTTTTGTACGGAACACGGTAAACATTGAAAAATTTCGCTCCAAAAGAATTTCTAGCGTTTTTAGAAGATTTCAGACGAAAATATTTAATATAAATATTATTTTTAGTGGAGTATGGTGTTTGTGCACTTCATTATTAATTGTATAGAGATGAAGATTTGACTAACATTGTGTAGACTCACAGAGATAAATAAACATAGAAATGTTACAATGTTCAATTCTATAAATTTATTTTTTACGTCATTTCTATAGCCCATTCCAGAGATGATTCTTACTACTTTTCTTTGCAAACTAAAGACAGCTAAAGACGCATGACCTCAGATGAGTAACCCATGAGACGTATGTGATAGAAATAATGAGTGGTAAACTGTAAGCTAAGGTACGAGACAAAAAATTATAACGGTACAGAATTTTTGTTTAAACATATTAAAAGAAAGTAAAAATACCTGGTTGATAGAGCAATCCCATTTTTAATTAATTTAATAAAGCATTTTCATAGAAAACACAAAATTGAAGGAAATTTATTGAAAATAAGTAAGTTTGTTAACAGACTTATTGTGACAAATTATTATCACGTTTCAAAAGAGAACTAACTAACTAACGAAATGAAAACTAATTTAATACCCAATGTCTTTTCCACCTCCTTCTATGAGATTGTAGACGCGTTTCTTCATAGAATTAACCAAGTGGATAAAGTAGTTGACGTCGAAATTCTCCCAGGGCGTCAAGATATCATCTTTCAATTCATTAACTGTTGCGTACTGCTTCCCATCTTTGTAAACCTCTGGCACAAGAGAACCCCATACATTTTCAATAGGGTTGAGATCCGGACTTTCCGCAGGTCATGATAGCAAAGCTATATTTTCTCGTTGAAACCACGTTTTCGATGAATTAGACACATGAATTGACGCATTATCTTGCTGAAAAATTAGTTTGCTGTTAGAAATAGGTGAAAATATGGTTTGAGGTGCACTTCCAACACATCTTAGTAATCCAGAGAGTCCATTCGATTTGAAATAAATGGTAAGTTAGTATTTCCTAAGCTACTAAAGGCACCCCAGACTATAACATTGCCACCTCCTTGAACTCGTTTCGACAAATACTTTGGTTCTTTTCGTAAATCGTGCCAATAATATCTAAAACCATCAGGACCCTCAAGATTAAATTTCTTATCATCTGAAAAAACTGTCTGGAACCATACTTCATTTTTCGTCTGCATTTCTCTGGCCCAATCACGACGTTTTTGAATATGCTCTTTTGTTAACATTGGCTGGTTGTTATATTTAGCATATTTAACATTTTTGCGAATAGCCAGTACTCGCAAAACTGTTGTTTTGTGAACAGGAAGTCCGAGGGTCGTCTTTTTTATCCTTTGTAACCAGAGTCACAATGGATCTTTTTGCACGTGCAGTGAGTTTTTTTCTTCCACAATTTTGTCGTCCATTTTCACGGTATTTCTTCCTTACAAACTTGGAGATTGTGGTCCAATCTTTCTTTCTATTTCTGAAAAACTCAAGCCTTGGTCATAGTATGCCTCAATCTGTTCTTTTTCACGTGCTGTTAGATCGTTTTCTTTGCCCATGATGAAAGACAATTATTGTAGCTGAGCCAAATATATATATTTCGACACTTTGACAGTTCTAACAAACATTTGCATATCGTATAAATAAACAACAATTACGCATACTACGTTTTTCTAATTAATTTTTATATAAAAAGTGATGCGTGATAATTTTTTGTCTCAAAATCACTTGACGCAATTGGCTTTTCACAGATCAGAAATTAGGTATTTGATGCAAAAACATTGTTGAAAAAACCATTTTTGTAAACTAAATTAACTTTATTTAGTCAAAGCAGTACATAATAAAAAAATCTTAAAAAATTTCGCCGTGATTATACGTATTTAGATACGACCGGCAAAAATGAACGAACAACATATACACTTTTCGACAATATACTAAATAATTTGTCAATGTGACTTTCCCAACTTAAACGACAGTTAAGATAAATACCAAGCAATTTAACACTGTCATTTTCCAGATCTCGATGTAAGAAAAGCATATGTTGTGTTTTCTTTTCATTCGAACTCAATAAGTTAAATGAAAACCACTGGCACTTGTAAATTTATTTTCAGATTATTTAAGTCACTGCCTGTAGATATTAATGTTGTGTCGTCAGCAAACAAACTGATTTCATGATTTTGACGAGTTACACACATCACAGATTTAGTTGATGTATAACAAGAAGAGTACTGGTCTGAGGATTTAACCTTGAGGTACTTTATTTGTTGTACATTCAACATCAGAATTGGAAGAAGTAAATTGATTTCTTTCCGATACATAATTATATATATATTTACTCGTACCAAATTAATTGAAGCAGAACCAGTACTTTTACTCTCGCTGAAGCCAAACTGCTGCGGCGTCAAAAAATGATTCCCTTCAAAATGTTTCAGTATCTGATTTTTCCAAACTTTTTGAGATAATGGGTAGTGGGAAATTTAAAATCTTAGTTTACTATATTAACGTGGCTGTTGTAATAATTTGATACACATGTTTTGTAGGAGTCGCTTTCTTATAGAATCGTAGGAAAACGACCAATGTTCCAATTTTTGTCTTAGATCATGAACCAAAATATGCACACCTAGCTGCTCATCTTGGCTTTCACAAGAAATGCTCAAGCGAATTTGATGATTTCCGAGCTGAGGCTACCATAGAATCGTCAGGGGTTTGCCCAGAGAGACAAATAGAAGTAGGTATTGAATTTACGAGAAAAAATTGTTCGGGTGCGCCAAAAACACAACGTTACTCTATATTTCTTTTTAAAAAAATTTAAAACATAGATTATTGTTTATTAGTTACTCACACAAAGTTTTAAAAAAATAACTCTTTAGCCATGTTGACAGCTAGGTTTCCTTGAAAAGCTAAAGTTCCAAAAAAAAAAAAGTTGTTACTTGCCAAGTAAGTAGTTGAATTGAAGTGATTTATGTTGTATAGTAAGTACTAAAAACCTAAAAGGCCCATGGTTTCGTGTATTGTTCTTCTTCATTTTGTTTTCATTCCTGCCCTTCCACATTTAATCTTTGATTACATTTGTAGTGATATTTCTGAGAATCTTTTCTTTGTATCTATATTTCGATTTGGCTCGTCAATTTACGGTCCCATACTCTTCTTGGAACTCTGTTCTTTGGCATTCTCCACATGTGGCCCAACCATCTGAGTTGTTGTCTTTTCATTATTGCAACTATAGTCGTTTCTTTAAATAATTCTATTAGCGTATTGTTGGTTCTTTTTTCTCATCTTTGAATAATCTTTGTCCCGCCGTAAATTTTTCTTAACACTTCCCTTTCTAATCTCTGCTTAGTAAATACTGCTCTCTTTTTCCATTGCCCATATTTCATTTTCAAAAGTTACTGTTGGCCGAATTATCGATTTATGCAATTATTAATAATCCAAAAATGACCCGATTTCCCTTTGGTCAGTCTTTGTAGTATTCCACTCTTTTTCTCGGGCTTCCTGTAGATATTTGTGCCTAGGTATTTAAATTTTATGTGTTTCCTTTTCTGGTTTGTACACGTAGTTATTTTCTTATTCTTTGTCTATTACTATTTAATGTACTTATTTCATTGTCTGTTCATTTGTCGATTAAAAGCAGCATACATTGAAAAATTATATTTATTTTTGAACACGACTATTAGCTGCTCCAAATCGCCCATTTTTTCATTTAGAATTACGGGAATTCTACCTTTTTATCACTGACTCTTGTTCTTCAAATGGCAAGTCCAAAATTTGTAGGATTCATATTAACACTTACTAACATTAAACATTAACAACTTATTAACAATCTAGTATTATGAGGTCACCATCTGGTTCAATTGTTTAAGGTTTTGTTGTTGTTATAACACAATTAATATTATTAAGTTTCGGAGATTTTAATTACATACATCCAGAATTTCAACAATACTATATGCAGTTAAACATCAAACATTGATACCAAAAATACTAAATTTAGTTGTGAAAAGATGACGACACATATTAAGAAAAAAAGGCGAAATATTAGTCCCGCCCACCCACCCTGTCTCGATTGTGATGATTTTTTTTATTCGTCGTGAGCCAAGAGGGCGGAGCTTAACTGCGAAATCCTTATT